ATTTGTTGTGAACATATCTCATTGCACACTCGAGTGTCGCTATCTTCTTTTGTGGTTTCTCCTTTTTAGTTTAGGTAGAGTAAATGGCTGCTTGTAAAGATGATTTCTGGGCCCGGTTTTCACCCCCTTTGATAAGACGTGGGGCACGTGACACACCAACCTGCGTATTCTTCTTTTGCTGCAACTGCTGGGTGAAACCTAAGTAAAGTTTGTAAGCTTTTACGAAAGACGACGACGTCTGTTCTTTCGGTTTGTTGGTGCAAGAGGCTCGTAAAGTTGAGGTTTTGGGAAATCCCGTGTCTTTGCTTACTCATCGTATGTTCTAACTTCCGACCAGTCTATTGCTTTGCTCATTACCTTTTGTCTTACTCCGCCTCTTCACCACACACACACACACACAACCCCCCCCCAACACACACACACTTAATTTTTTCGTGTTATTATTTGTAACTTACACACAATTAACTATCATTTCCCCAAATTGCAATCACCGTCCAACACACACTCTCTCTATTTATTCTGTCGGGTTATAAATTTTTTTAACAATAAGAAAAAAAGGGCGTATAAATCGTATAAAGGCGTTGAAGGGGCGTTAAAAGTTCCGTAATTTAGTGTATTTTGGGGGTGTAAAAAAATAGCGGTATTAGTACCTTAAACGGGCTTAAAAAAGACCTCCCAGGGGAACAGTTACCAGAGAATCCATGACATGTACATTCGGGGACATTATGCTACAGAAAAACACATGACAACAAGATACCAAGTACAACATTGGAATGAACGACGGTACAACCTGGGTCCAGAGGGAACTTTTTACTAACTACTAGAGTTACCCTGGTAGACCCAATTTATTTCCAAATTTTCTCTCTTTTTTCTCTTCTTTTATTTACTAAAATTTCTTCTTTTTTAGCGCCAGCTTAACAGTCAGAGTGTGTGCCATAACTGTGTAAATAAATCAGCGGCTATAAGCTATATAGCAATGTAGGGATAATTTGATTACTTTACTAACTATTCACGTAGCCAGTTGACCATACAGTTACAGGTTATTTGAATATCACTTTCAAATAAGAAATACAACTCTCCAACAGTACAGGGAAACAGTAACACGAAATACAGATACGGGGATGCGCGAGCTGATGACGTCGCGTCAAGACGAGTTAACTTTTTTTTCCTCTCAACTTTGTGGAAAAATGCGGGGATTATGCGGCCTTTTGATAAATATGCGGCCTTTAAAAAATCTGCGCCATTTTGCTGATTATGCGGTAAATTCTGCGATCGCAGAATCGCGTTTTTCTGGAGGGTCTAATTGACAAGTACCAACAGTATATTTATATCTCGCCCGGTCAATAAGCTTCACCTTCTTGGCAAAAACTATTGTTTTTGAAGTGGTGGAGAGACAATGCGCAGTTTTACCCACTGCTGTCACCCATGGCCAAAGCATATCTCTCTGTCCCAGCAACATCAGGACCAAGCAAGAGAGTTTTTTCCACAGCAGGGGATATTGTAAACGCCCAAACATCCCAGCTTCTACCTCGAAATGTGGACATGCTCATATTCCTAAAAGATAACCTTGATGATGCTGAGTGAGTGAGTGAGTTAGAGTTGAGTTACTTGAAAAACTAAAGTGAAACTTAATTTATTCTATTGCAGGGTCTGATTATTATATTGTTAACACTTTAAAATACTACTATCCTACTAAAAAGTAAAAAAAAAAAAAAGAATTCACTTTTTTTTTCAATATCGCGATGTTATCGTATACCGTGAGTTTTTGGTATTGTTACATCCCTATTGTTTAATGTATCGATTATTTTCTTTACTAATTTATGTTTGTATTATAAAAAGCTCCCAAAATGCTGAAAAATGAAATGATATAAGAAGCTTAAACTATCAAGAAGCTGATAAATTAGCAAATTGAACGAGCAAAAACATGTTGCAACCACCACTGGTGTAAAAAAGAAGAATGCATAGTCAGTGAGCAAAGGGAAATGAGTCAGTAGAGAAAGATTGAACTTAATGCAGATGTTTTTAGAAATTATTAGTCAATTATTTAGTTTACGCTCCTTGGGAAAACAGACAAGATAGTATCTTCTTCTTTAACTGCGTAAAAGTAATCAGCTTCCCATTTCCCCTGAGATGTGACTTTAATGAGTTGTAAAGACTTTGATGAGAAAGCATGGAAACACACCTGGTCAGAGATTCATTTTGGTTGTGCTCCAGTAAAGTGTCAATGGGAGGAAACAATCAAGTATGTAACAAAAACGCAGCGCTCAGCATGCTAACGAGGAGAAAAGGCTTGTATCTTTGAATGGGTAATTGTTAAAAAGACCTGAGTAAGGAAAGACTTACCACAAAATAACCCAGCAGAGAGGGTGTGGGTTGATTTAATGTATAAGTATCAGGTTTATAATTCTGGCAAAGAGTGTGGTTATTAGGCCTCTTTCTATAGTGCAATATGCTATATATTATCGCTTCTGTCCAAATGTTCATTCTTTCAGATATTTTAATTAAAAAACTGCAATTTCTGAGTCACTCTCCTCATTTTATAATCCGAGTGGAGTATTTACAGTGTTAAAGGGGAGAATAAATCACTCTACTGTGCTTCTAATCTCATGTTATATTCCCCCCCCCCACCTGTCCCGCTGCTGCTGTTCCCATTGAAGTCTCTGGTGGGTCTTTAGAGAGTCCAGAAGCCTCATAACCCACCTGTCCACCTCCTGATTTATGTCTCCTGAGACCACTGAGGGATGCTGGGAGTTTGCCTCGTACCTTTCTTTTTTAAGCATCATTCAATCATAAATAATGTGCACTCTCTGAAGAATCCTTTGGTCTCGACCGCGGTTTTATATAGCTTTGGTTTGCTAAAGTAATGTAAGGTAGAATCAGGATAAATAACCCGCTGTGGTTCTTTCAGTTATTTGAATACATAATGTTCCAATGAAAATAATCGTGTTCCCGTGAAGAGGCATTCGAGCAGGGTACGCTCTAAAATGGATATGTCATGGAACAGGCCTAAAGAAAGATTTTCCATTACTGTATTCTGTGCTATTTTAGATTAAGAAGCGGTTCGAAGAATATCCTGGCAGAGACAGCACACAATGAAGAAATCCAACCAGAGAATCCTTCAAACTTATTTGAAAGTTCAAGTAACTAAAGTTGAATTTCCTTTAAGTGACAAGTATTTACATTTGTGGGTACTCTCTATTTTGTTGCACATTTTTCACCAGTATTAGAAATACGTAGAATGAACTATTACCTAGACCTAGTAGATTTAACCCTCAAGAGAATTTGATTGCAACTAATAATCATTTTTCTCAATTAATCAATTCATTTTAGGTTTATAAATTGTCAGAAAACACTTACAAAAATACCCATTTTAGTCGCCTCATGCCCAATATGATATCTTCAGAACTGTTACTAAACACCAAAACCCCAAATAGTCAATGTTCTATTAGTTAAGACCAGAAAAGAAGAAAAATTAAAATATTAAGGATTTATAATTTTTATTTTTGCTTAACCCTTAG